ACGAGGAACTGAAGAGGTAAGTGAGCGGAGTGCTCACTCGTATCGATGGTCAAGTCATGGTCAGCCAGCACATCAAGGCAGGAAAGAAAACTTGACAGTGAATGACTTGCAAGGACGTGGTCAATGCGGCAGCGATGAGTGCCGCAAAAAAAAGGTGTGTTGGTACACACCCCCTTCCGGGAGAACCGGTTCAAGCCCCCATTGCACTGCAAGATCCAAGATGGCCTCACCAACAAAAGACGAAGTGTCGCAAGTTGGAAAGACGGGATCGAGGTCACTCCACTTGATGGTCGCATTCCAATCGCCAAGGCACAAAAGGTTGGCACGTGGATGTTTGCACCTCCACGAATCAACAGACTCCCGCAACAGTTGAAGAAAGGCCAACCTCTCTGTCTCGTCTCGGCCGGAATGCGGAGCATGTACATTGGCCACGATCAGCTCGACATTGGACCAACGAAGCAAAAGAAGCATAAGGCGTGAGGACACGCACTCAATCTTGGACTCCATTGGCCACATCTCAGACCCAATTGCCATAGCTACGCCCAATTGACCGCGCTCACCCTGTGACAAAGCCAAATGGAAATCACCAACCCTCATAGTGGTTTCAACAGAGCTTCGCACTTCTTGTAGGCATGCAAGGCCTACCCCCCGAGCGCTGAGTTGGGTCAAGTAGTGCAAAAGAGCACCTGGTTGACAAGCTGTTCCGGACTTCTCACAAAGTTTCAAGGTGGTGACATTGTGAGATATCACCACCAAGGTATGCTTTACCCCTTTGCGTTGTGAAGGGACAGAGTTTGACACACACACACACAGCAACATGTGTGTTCCCCAGACCAACAAGCGTCAAGAAACATTTTAAGATCACTTACTACCTCCCGCGCTTGAAATCCACGAGTGAGACGTGGAAAGAGCCTGTTGCCCCACCACAGATGAGGAAACACAAAGATGCTACAAAAAGAACGTGCATGGCTCAAAAATCTGACAACAAAAGCATCCACGACTCCAATGTACGACCAGCACCTGCGGAAAATATTCTTGCCAATGTAACTCTGGTCGCATCCGTGTGGTAGGGGATGCAACCTTCGATGCACCCTTGAGGCATCACACGCCCGCAAGAGCGGGGGAACGTGGAGTTGAACCGTCCAGGAAAAGGGTCCGCTTGGTCGCTTTTGTGAAGTGCGAGAAGGCAAGCTCGTAGCGGCTTATATATGTCGTAAAAAGTCAGCTGTTGTTGGTCTCCTTCGAGGCGGAAACCCTCACAATGGAAGCAAACCGTGAGTTCAGAGAATGAAAAACTCTGATGGACATCTGGAAGCCACTTCAACGAGCGGAAGAAGGCACACAAAGTGTGCCAGTCACGCTCCGGTCGTGTCCACCGTGCCGGGCATGGGCACTGCACCGGAGTTTTGGGTTTCCATGTAAAAAGAGATGGTCTTAGACCCCACATCCACTGCGGGAACCGTGCCTTACATTGGTCTGATGTAATCTCAACAACAGCTTCAACACGTGAAGCATCACCCGCATTGTCAGTAGGAACACTCGTGGGTAGAAGCCTATGAAGATTAATCAACCAATTGTGGTGCTGACAAATCGCTCTGTCTGCTTGTTGCTGCAATGTACAATCAACTGGTGCAAGTCGGCGCGCCAAATCCTTAGCAACCATATCGGCCCTTCTATTGTGCAAAATGTGTTCCTTGGTGGTACCTGCACTAGCTGCCAAATCTTCTGTAAGAAGCTGCTCCGGCACCCGTTCAAGCTTGTGGGCTGGAACCCACTGAATCAAGAAAGGATGCTCTAACACTTATTGTCTGCGCTGATAAAGATCCCTGAGGCTGCGCCACCATGGGGAGCACAACCAATCTTCCCCAATAAAACCGTTGGCAAATACTTCACTACATTGTTGCACAACTGTTAAAGAATCGGAGAAAATGATGGTGGGACCAGTGGCCTTCAAACACGCCACTACCACAGCCCACAACTCTGCTGTGTAAGATGCCAGGTTCCAATGGTTCACCTGACCCTTGGAGATGATTGAAAAGTCCTCTGCAATGCCCGCATATGTGGCTGTAGTAAGCCAGAACTTGGTAGGAAATAACACAGAGCCATCTGTCCAAACCTTTCGAAGAGGCCCTGCGTCGAAATGTGCCGCACATGCAATTGTACTGGCATCAAGAGACAAAAGCCTTTTCCTGCCAATAAAATATGGATGCTGCACATGGCCTAACATCAAAAAATTTGGACCGAACTCGTGCGGGATGGGCGGTCCGATGAGTTGATGAAGGGCTGCACATTCGACCAAATGAGGCATTGATTCCTTGGTCTCACCGCAGAAGCAGCATAGCGCAGACTCCGTCCATCCTGAGCTTGCCACGCGATCGTTGGTAAGCGTGCACCCAATCACCACTGATTCAAAACGGGAGGAGTCAGAGATCACACCTGGGATGATTTCCTCTTTCTTTTGGAGAATGAGAGTACTTTGTGTGAGGTCGAAGATCCCGCTCGGTTTGCAAAAGTCTTTTCTCCCATTAGGGGGGGTCGAAACATAGCATGCGTGACGTGTGATATGCTGCAGGGCACGCTTGACATCTGGTGGTCGGACTTTAGTTAGGTCCAAAGGTTGCGAACCTTGGAAGCTGAGGCCAAGATCTGTGTCGATTTGTAATCCCAAAATGTTGGCTGCATCATAAAGGGATACTGCCAAGGCATGCTTGGTATTATTGTCCGCACCGAGGGTACGCTTGAGTTTAGGAATGATTTCAGGCGCAGTGCTGCGCAACCGGATAGTCTCAAAAATCGTGTGATAGGCATTGGCAAACACTGGGTCAGTCCGAAATGGCTGGGCATGGATGGCCTGCAAAAGTGTTCGAGACCTCCATTTTTGCCTTCCAACCCATAAGGCGCGTGCAATTGCACTCTGAATGGTGTCAATGTCCTTTTTCGGAATCTTGGAAATGTGACAGCCAAATGAGATTGGCGGAATGACCTTAGCCCCAATAAGATGAACTCGCGTCTTGTGGGGGATAGGGAGAGCAGCAATGTTGTCGATATCCCCTAGGACACGTTTCAACGTGGATTGAGGAAAGTCAAATGATTCACGCTCCGAGCAGTACATACGCGCTCCAAGAACAACGATCTCAAGCTCAACAGGAAAGTCAGGAAACTCTTCACGTAGGGTTTTTCTTGCTTGGTTTGTCGTGCTCCACATGGACGATTTGTGGGGATTAAGTTTCTGACCAGCCAGTTTATCCCAAAGATTAGTCACATCGATGGCTTTCTGAAGCAAAGCACTGTGGTGAAGATGACACCACATGTACGCGTCATCTATGAAAGCGCGAGCTGAGATCTGAGGAATGTGTTCGAGAAGGTGGAACCAGACCTTATTGTATGCATTCATCGCTAGTAGTGAAAAGGAGCAACCCTGTGCCACCCCGTTGGCTGGTGTAGTAGAGATGGGGGAGCACCAATTCCGATAAGCAAGATGACGATGCAGGTTTTGGTAAATCTTCAAGAAGACAGTAACAACAGACTTGGGAATACCAAACGCAAGAAATAATGCCGCTGCATACGAAGGGATGATCCTGTCGAATGCTTTTGCCTTGTCCAATTTCAAGCCAATTAATGGAGCGCCGTCCAACTTGGCGCAATCAATTTCAAGGCGGAGTTCATTGTACAGGGTGGACATGTGTCTATGTCGAATTCCACCCTAGATACTAGATGGCATCACTGCAGCTTGCCATTTTTGGAGCTGGGAAAACCGAGTTCCCGTGTAGGCAAGCAGCAGTGCTGGTAAAACAGTGATTAGGCGTTTGTTGAGTGGAGTTGCTGGTCCCGGCTTGTTTAGATTCATCTGCTTTGCACATACTAAAGTATCAGGGATGGCCTCGGAGGATGTTTCTAACTCAGCAAAGAATTTGGCAACAGGTGCTAACTCTTGTGCAGTGAATGAACGTAACTCGTCTGTGCGCCACCCGTCAAGGCCAGGGGCGGCATCAATCCGACGTTTTTGCAACTGGGGAATGTTGACCGATGGCCGTATTTAATGTTCAAGTGTCTGCGCGTGGTGTATATGTGTGAAGAACCGTTCCAACACAACACAAAAAAGCTTGCGCCAAGCAGAGTTGTGTATATATACATATACATATACATATACATATGTGCGCAAGTGCTGTCTGGGATTGTCTGGGAAGGATATGGGAAGGATATATAAATTGTACACAAATGAGAACCATTGTTATTACCAAATCAAGCAGAAAAGCAATCAAGGACGAACTGGCAATTTACACACGAAAGACGAAAGGTACCATGAATGCAGCTGTCAAAAAGATCATATTTTAAGTCCTAGCACCAGCAAAGGCACGCGTTTGGAGGACACAACAAAAATATTTTCCGGTAGAAGAAGCACATCTAAGCAGTGGATGTATGGACATGAGGCAACGCACTTAGACTTATACACTTATACACGAACATTGCCAGACACAAGACCGAGACACCACTGAAACATGACCGAGACACTGGGACACCATCGCCCAAGCCTGGGGCCGTGAATCCCATGGCGACCAGCTGCCTAAAGAGTGTACAACCCCAAGCTATCGCTATGGAAGGGGAACTAGAGGAAGAGAACCTCCCAACAATCGAACACTTGCAGTCGGCATGTGCTCGATTCCAGTGATCCGGTGACAGGGCTGCAGCATGGGTGGCATTCTCGTCCGCAGGGCTGCGTGAAGGTGTTCGGAAGTAATTTCTAAAGATTTCTAGGTAAGTGGTCGTTTTGCAGCCATATAGTTTGCACAGCTGTTTCCGGGCTGGGGGTTCTTTGCCTCAAAGCGTTGCCTGTAGTACAAAGGCAGTGTGGGAAGACTTGCGGAAAAGCGGTCTCTGGCAATGATCAAAGGCGACTTGCAACCAAGTGATGTGCAACAAAATCATAGGAATGAAGCATGTCAATTGATTCCGGCGGCGGCCGATTTGCATACCAAACGGCAAATTCTCCGAGGTCCCGCCTTCCGTGCTTCTTCTTGGGCAGCGCATAGCTCGGCACCTGGCCGGACACGAGGGCTCGCAAGGCGCATGGTGCGTGGGACCACTGCACTAAGTCGCCGACGCAAGGCCACACACTAGAACATGACATGTGCGCAAACATGAAAAGCTATGAAAAGCATTAAACAAACACTACACAAAGGAGAAAAAGGATTGCAAAGTCCCTATTAATGAGGTTCCCATCTTTTTATGCGCAAACTCGCAAACTAATTCCGCGCCATCACAGCTATAGAACTCACACAACCTACAACTCAGCCGCCAGCGCATTCGCTCTCTGAAACCTACTACTGCAACAGGGCCATGGAATACAAATCGCAAAACATTCAAAATTTTCGAGGTGAGTGATGCACATGTGCAATGATGTGCGCCTGTACATTTGGCTTCGCGCAGTGCTGTGCCTTCAACAGAATTGAACTATCGCAAGTACCGGTGAAGCACCGCCATGGAAAAAACTGAAACGCTGAGAGCACCTCTTGCAGTTCAGCCTGGAGCTTTGCAAGACTTGAGCGGGCCTTCGAGGCAAATAGGAAGGCCCTTGACTTGACATCATGCATACAAGGCCCAATTGTGTAGCAGCACTCATTCATACTAGGACTTGCTGCTTTGCGCAAACCCACCCACACGGTGAACTGGGTCTCTTAGAGCTCAAAACGGGAAGTTGTTCGCTGGCTGGCTCTAACAGGTGAGATTGCCATCAGTTCATATCAGTTCATCACCCAATCCCAAAATCTGAAGAATCAAAAGCACGGCCTCCTGCAACTCGGACTCGTAAAGCTGCCGCGCCTGCCAAACCATTTTGCCACGCAAGTGCTGTGGATTGCAATGTCAGGGCAAACAACACAGGCCCCCCTAGGCCATCATTACAAACAGGGAATCATATGTTGTGTTGTTTTCTTTGGAAGAGGTGCTGGTGCCGCTGCAGCACCCTGTGTGAGATGTCGATGGCCGTGTGCGCTTTGGAGCCTGGATCCTGGTGCCACTGCTACAGGGTTCCGCAGCTGCTTCTGCTGCCAGATGTTCGTGGCAAAGTCGAAGTCTAAGTGCATGCGTTAGATCTTGGGTGCTGGTGCTGCTGCAGGGTGCCAAATGCCAATGCAAAGGTGCCGCTCCAGGTTGCTTCTGCGAGATGTCTGTGGCCGTGTGCCCTGTGGAGCTTGGGTGCTGGTGCCACTGCACCTAGCCTAGCCGCTGCAATGTGCATAAACATGGTGCTTTGGAGATGGTCAACTTCAAAAAGGTTATCCTGGGTCATAGAATCAGAAGGCAAAACAAACAAAACATCTGGAATGCAATTTCTCCCAGAAGTAGCAAGAGCTGTTGGGGTTCTTTGATAGAATAGGTGCCTGTGTGTTGGGGCGCCGCTGCCAGATGTGTATGGCAACGTGGGCTGCGTGCCGGGGCCGCTGCAGGGCGCCGCTCCAAGGTCTATGGCTGTGCGTGCTTTGGAGCTTGGGTGTTGGCTCCGCTGCAGAACGCCATTGCCAAATGTGCTCGCACTGTGCGCGTTGGAGCAGCTGCTGCCGCTGCAGGGTGTTCATTCCAGATTCAGAGGCACTTGCAGGGTGTTGCTGCCAGATGTCCATGGCAGTGTGCGAGTTGAAAGGTGCCGGCCACATGTTTGTGCCACCGGGTCGGAAACGGGTGCTATTTTTGACAATCGCTACCCCGCAGCACCGAACTTCCACAACACCATGTAAACGCAATTCACCACAACATCTTGCACCATACAAAAATACAGCCAATACCATTATGTTTCGTCTATCAATCACATTCAATCACCATGTAAACGCAACAATCAGTATAGTCAGAATAGTCTGATCTTTTTCGACCCGGTGGCCATGGATGTTGATTTTGTGTAGAGACCATGATGATCGGTTCCACAACATCGTGTTCATCAACCTTACAACATGATGAATGGTTGATGTGACGACAGAAGATTCTACGCGGGGGTTCGGGGGTGGCGTGGGGTTTGGGGGGGCTGGTTTCGTTCGTGTGATGAGTGGAACGCGATGGTGATGAGTTGCAGATGTGACCCGATTGAAGATTCTATACGGGGGCTTTGAATGTTCACGATGGTGGAATTGATGCAATGTGGACTCACTTGAAGGAATTCCTGTCCCACGGCACAGCCCGAGGCGGTTTGGGACTCTTCATGCCTTCATAGCTGCATCCGTGTATGCAAATGCCCGTTAGGCCCAACCGTTAGGCCCTCATACCTCTCCCAGACCCAGGCACCATGGTAAAGGCCCAAGGCTGCAGGATGGCAGGGATGGACTCCCGAGCCTCAGCTCATGATATCGAGTCCATTGAAGTCCTCGTGACTAGAGTCAAAGCTGCTGAAGCTTTACCCAGTAGGACGAGCAAATCACAACAAATCGTAGCCAGCCAACAGGACGAAACAAGAAACACCTCCAACAGGACATGTTCATATCAAAAACCCCTTGAATCTCAAGCCAGCTGTGTCAGAAAGTGCCCTGAAATGATGGCCACGTGTTCTGGGTACTCTGAAATGCCTACAACTCAAGCATAGCGCAGGGTTTAACGAGCGATGAGTGAGGGAAGCACAGGGATGGTGACAAGGGATGACCTTGCGAGCGTTGTAGTTGGACCATGTTGGGGCCATAGTTTATATATATATATATGCTAGCCCCCCCCCGGGACCTACCTTTTATGTGTTTGACCAGATGTGGACCATTTGAAATGTGTTCTTTGTAAAGATGTTTGTTAGTATTCTTGGTAGGATGGAAAATTAACATTTAGATAATCTATTGTTTGCTGGTGTTGTTTTGTTTGTTCTTGACCTTTCAGTTTTAGTTGATGTTTTTGACTCTCTTCATGTCTTTTAATTGTATTTTTACATTTACAAACAGGACATACAATTTTTAAACTGTTGTATTGGTCTCTTTTTATCTTGTATCTGTTCCCCGTTCTGTTCATAGTATTGTTTCTGTTTATCTTTGATTTCTTCTTTGTGGTCTTCACGATACTGTTTTTTCTTTTCAAGAATTGTATCTCTTTTTTGTTCTCTGTATTCTTTACATATGGCAAGTATGTGTTTGTTGTTTTTTTCATAAATCTCTTTTGTTTTTTGTCTTAATTCCTCTCTGTGATTTCTCTATATATGTTTTTTCTCTTCAAGACATTTAATGCATAATGCCTTTCCTCCATCAATATTGTCTATTGCTTTTACTTTTTACATTTTGAACATTTTTTCATATTATCACTCATCAGCTTAATATATTATAGTGCTATTTCTTTATATCTATTTTGGGGCTTATTAGTTCATAATATGTTTTGTTAAGATATTATGAATTAATCATCACTCTCACTATCAGGTTCTGGTTCTTCATCATTTTCTTCGGTATTTGTTTTAAACTGTTCCTTTGCCAGTTTCAGTTTCTCTTTTTCAATCTCATTAACAAGTTTCTCTTTCCTACAACACTGACCACACACATCAACATATTGTTGATATTGATGGAAAACTTCAAATCTACTAATAAGAATTCCTCGTTCATCACGTGTTTATTTTTCAAATGTTATCCTATCACATGTGATTTTACATCCACAAATCATAGAAGTCATTTTCACTTAATAATATATAACACTATTTCTTTAAGTATCTTTTTAGGGAAAACATTATTATCTAATTCTATTATTATGCCATTGACAAAGGAACAGATTATAAGCAATGTATATTATGATGTTGAGGAAGGGTTCGGTAGTGTTCAATCCACATACAAAAAGGCGAAGGAAAAAGACCCTTCAATAACTTTGGATGAAGTAAAACAGTTTATGACCAAACAGCCTAACAAACAGATAAAAGGATATAGGGGTTCAAACTCATACACAGCACCTTTTGCCAGATTTGAGTATCAAATTGATACAATGGTCATGGCTCCACTTGTAAAAGCTCCAGAGGTCAAAATAGAACCAACCAAAAAACAACCACAATACGCATTGGTTAGTATTGACATATTTAGTAAGCTGGCTAATGTAGTGCCTATGAAGGAAAACAATTCAGAAAGTGTTTTAGATGTATTGAAACAATCATTTAAGAAAATGGGTTCTCCAATATCTATTTATAGTGACAATGATGGTGCTTTTCAATCAGTAGTACAAGAGTTTTTAAAGAATGAAGGCATACAACATATCATAACATCAACTCATGCAAATGTTGCCGAGAGATTTATTAGAACCATGAAGAATATGATACATGACCGTGTTAGATTTAACACTGCAAATTGTACAGATATGTTGATACCAGCCTTGAACAAATGCAACAGCACAAAGCACTCATCAACAGGAATGACACCAAAACAGGCACATAAGGATGATAATACGGTAAATGTAAGAGTGATTTTGACAATCAAGGAAAAGAACACCAGAAAATATCCAAACATCAATGTAGGTGATGATGTTAGCATATACCAAAATAATAGAGGCAATTATACTGACAGAAAAGAATATACCAGCAAATGGAGCGCAAAAACTTATGAAGTATTAGAAACAAAACGTGACATGACGGGAAATAAAACATACATACTTAGAGGTTTAACTAAACCATATTTGAGACATGAAATACTATTAACATGATAAAAAGATTTCATAAATCAACTCACTCGGTATTCTCCTAAAATCCTCAAATCCTAAGATTTCAGCACTAGTCGTTGCGCAACAGACTAAAATCCTAAAATCCTAGATTTCAGCACTAGTCCAAACCTTGACTTCATTGTTGTAGTCTGGAAATCTTAGGATTTTAGGTTGCGCAACGACTAGTGCTGAAATCTTAGGATTTTAGTTTGTTGCGCAACATGTTGCGCTACTTTTGTTTTTATCATCATCTAGTTTCCACCCAAGAGGTCTTCATTGACCACTGTTTCCTTTCTTATTGTGTAAATATATATATATATATGGCACCCCCACAATCCCTTCAACCAAAAAGTAATCTAAAACTTGTACCCAAAAATCAATGTCAACATGCGCATAATTCACAGTAAATATCGCTGAAAAGTACAAAAGGGTAGGTCCCGGGGGGGGGAACCATATATATATAAATATTAGGGCCTGCTTGCTGCTTGTTTTCCTGAAAAACTCGGGCGCAATCCCCATTCCAGCGCGGAGACCTGCAGAACACTCAAAGAATCAAAGAACAAACCTTCCTGCGAGCCTCAAGTGCGCCTCCCCAACACAGAGCCCGGACAGGTCCTTTGGCAGTTGCGAAAGCTGGGCCCTTGAGATTCTTTCAGCACTTTCATCCAGAAATGCCCCAGCCAACCATAGTTACGTATATGTAAATAGCAGTCGGGTGGGTGATGCACTGTGCTCATATTGTGCTAATATGTAGTATGTAAACACCTACATACACATCCATAAATGGGCAAGAAGCCTCCGCAAGTTCTCGGATCTCTTCCAGCTTGTCTTCCGAATGGACGAGGCTTTGCAAGCCAATGCCGCTAAGCTGATTGAACAGCTCGGTGAGCACCGGGACATTCTCAGGGTCTTTTGCATATGTACGAGCTAGAACCTCTGCCGAGTAAAGGTAAGTCGAATGCTGATGCTGCTGGAAGGCGGTGACCAATGTCCGAGCCACATCGGGGAGGTGATGCTTGAAGAGATCAGGCACACAGCGCATGGAATCCTTCAGCAACTGGCAGCTCTTCTCAACCTCAACAATGGGGACCAATGAGGAACAGAATGGACCAGGTTATTCATTGGATGATTTAATGTTACTATATATAATCTCCCTCTCTCTGTCTGTGTATATGTATAGTATTATGTATAGTTATATTTATTTATCAAACTCCCACACTCAAAGCATTAGGACATATTAGGACATCATCTCGCATCTGCAATGAGTGTGGCCAGTAGCCACAAACAATCCATCAAAGTGCCAGTGCATTCTACTGTCTTGCCAACACGTTTTGAACACTACTAAGCAGTACCAAACACATTGAGTCTTGAGATGTCACTCCCGCACTATTGGCAACACTGAAAAAAGAAGCTGGATGCGTCAATCCAGCAACCCCCCCCACTCTACCAACATGCATCAGCAGTATTTCAGACTTGGCACCAGCTTCGAATCTGTGGGGTGGTGATGTAGGCATTGCCGAATCATTGGCCAAAGGGTGTTGCAAAGCAGGTGACCTGATGGGCCAAAGAGTAGATCTCATGTGCGGGCCCAAGGTGGGGGCGAGAAGTGTAAAGGCTTCAGGTTCGAGAAATTTCCGTCTCGCTCTGTAAGGGGTTTTCGTTGTCATGCCTCCAGTGCGTTTCTGCATGTTATCAAGAGTAGATGCTATCGCTGGCAGTCATAGGTGTGTTTCAACATCATTTTGAATACCAGTTGGACGACGGCTCTTTAATGCTCTTTGATGACTTTGAAGCCATGAACTCGAATGTATCTGGCCTCCGACAGCGGCAGTTAACCAATATTCACAAGTGAAACACTGGGGAAAAAGGTGTGAAAAGACGAGTTAAGAATTAAATCAAGAGCTATTTCTTTTGCAACCAACGTCTCCACACGTACTGTTCTCAGAATAAACTCTAGCTTTCGTTCATTTCAACTCTTCTGCGCATATCGAAGTATTAACTCTTGATCTAATTCCTCTCCACGGACTTTGTTCACTGACCCCCTTTGCCAGAATTAACTCTTGACCTTATTTCTCGCCAGGGGCCCCCAATAGGCCCACCAGGAATATCACCATTGAATGATTGTAAGACATCAGAAAGAGACTTTGGTGATATCAAGATCACTGACCTCTGTGCTAAGATTTAACTCCTGGTTTAATTCCTCGCTAGGGCTATTCCCTCCCCAGGGCCTGTGTTCACTGACCCTCTTTGCCAAGAATTATATAACTCCTGCTTTAATTCCTCACCAGGGCCCCTCTAGGGCCACCCAGCTTGAATGTTGGGGAAACACTTTGATGCAGTACCCTAGCGTGACAACTGCAGCAGCCCTGACAAAAAGAAGGCCTTGGGTTTAGATATATATCCTCCACCAGATCTCTGAAAACAACGAATTAACTCTAGATTCTAGACTCTAGATTTAATTCTCCCAGCTCACATGTTGGCGTGGGAAAATGACAATCCGCTTGCTAAAATTCATATCGGAGTAAATTCCTTCGGCATGTGCACAAACGTGACACACCATGTATATACAAACATTAATTTTAGAGTTAATTCTTGTGAACTCTCGGGGGGACGGCTGGACAAAACAAAACAAAATAAACAATCCCCTTGGAATTGCCGGTGGATGTTGGGCATCCACTTTATAGATAGATAGATACAGTAGATAGATAGATAGATAGATAGAGAGATAGATAGAGAGATAAACAAACAAACAAACAAATACATAGATGCTTGTCCACTAGCAACTGAGTCTTTTCCAGAATGTAACTGGATCTTTGCAAGTTGGCAGGTGCAGGCATTTTTTTGCTCAGGGAAAAGGAGCTTAGATTAGCCATGCCAATCTGGCGCGAGATATCTGATTCAGAAGATGATGACCCTGAGGACTTTCTTTTTAAATTTTTGGAATGTGGAATCAAACTAAACTTAGAATGCTAAGAATAGTAATGCCTTCTGTAGGACCTGACAGCAGCTCAACAGGCATATGTGGCAAATCTGGGAGCAGAGTTTTGCCAACGTGCTGGATCTTTGGTGATTGATTTCTTTACTTCTCACTGACCCATTGTAGAAAATGATGTTCCAAACTTCTCCGGCTGGCTTTAGGACTGGAGAAGTTCTTTCAACAGTGGAGATCTGAATTTGGATTCGCCAGCGACTGTTCTTGGGCTAATATTACCATATAAAAAAATAAACATACTGCGACAAACAGAGAATGGTTTGTGCTTTTTGTGTTCATGAAATTGGACACATGTTGCAAGGCTCCGGGACAGACACACCCTACATGGTCTTGAAGAAGATGTTTGAACATGCGAAGAAGACCAAATACTTGAAGCATTTGAATCTCAGCATTATGTATTTTGCATTCTTCTAAAATGTTTGTGGCAACATCTTGGTGACCATAGCGCATCATAAGACCATATGGAACTAAGGACTGGAAGTGAAATCAATGGTCCGGCCCAGACCTTCTTAGACAGGAATTACCCAATGGAGGAGTTGCTGGGTTGCATAACCACGTTGACTTGCATTTCCTTTCTGGAGGAGTGCCAACCATTTTAAAGAAGCTTCAGAATCTTCAGACTTAAGGCTCCGGGGATCTATATTCGACCACAGCGTGAAACGTTGGAAGAAAAAGGCATCTTGGCTGTCTTTCTCAACGGTTGTTTTGCACACTGGCCTATATCTTTGACAGAATGTATTCCACAATGCTTTTATCATGATGCAGCTGGCTAAGGCAGGCTTATATGCAGCAGGCTTTCCCTGCACGCCGTTTAGCTATCTCCACTTTGGCAGTTCGCTTTTGAGGGACGCTAATGCAAGGCAGCTGTTTAGGTGCATCTCCAACTTGGCAGAATTACAACCTGCTGACCCTTGGCAGAGTTACGACCAGCAGCGTATCAGGGTTTGTGTTTGTTGGATGTGTGCTTACGTGTTCCATGTTTGCTGCTATTGCCTACTGACTAAGATGGGCCTACTGGAGAATGTGCCAGGGTTTGCCAGAGTCATTCACCCGGTGCTGGAATACCTGCACAAAAAGCTGAACAAGCAGTGCCTCAGCGAGCCACACCTATGTTAAGTTTAGTTGCAAACAAGCTGTCATTTGTTATCGCTTGGGGGGACATGAATGATGGAAGCGAATTAGGTATGCGATTACATGGGAGTACATGCAGCCGCTCCCTGGCCACAAGTTTTGTGCCTACTATGTACTTCTGAGTTTGGCGATCAATGTGCTTTTTTTAATGTGTCTTTCCTAGGACCGACTATGGAAGTCCCATTTCAAGGCGTCGAATATACATTTTCCTCGTCAGGAAGGATTTGTTGGTTCCAAAGGCCCAGGAGGATTTTGAGGGCTTCATTGCCAACCACCTGCTCAAGCTGCACCATGAACCACGATATTCCTGGAAGCTTACCACTGCCTAGCTGATGAAATTCTATCGAAACAAAGCAATACTTTCACCGAAGTTCAATTGTCCTGATGTTTCTTGTGGCTCAGGGTGCATTTTTTTCTCCTTTCAGGACAGATCTGTTGTATCCAGCAGACCACCCTTACGTTGCCTCGGATATTTCGAAGAGGACAAAGAAAGTGAAGCGTGTCAGTCAGACCATCAGAAGAAAGATACTTGATTTTTAAAAAGTTCAACTTTCATCAAATACCGAATTAAAACAAGCTTGTCGCCAGAACCCTGCCCACTTGTCCAACATCCTACGTCCCACTCGCCTTAGGAAAAAAGTCAAAAAGGCAGCTTGGGTGAAGCGTCACCGGGATTGGGCAAAGGGGAAGGGTGTTTCCTGGATGCATTGGCTGATGTGTTCAATGGACAAGATCTCTATTGAAAGAAATGCTCAAGATCAAGATTTCCTTGATGCTCCCCCAGCAGTAAAGAAACTCTTGCTTAGGTCACATTGTCCAGGGCAAAACTTGCCTTCAAGAAGAAATACCCCAATGCGGCGGACCAGATCAAATCCCTCCGAGAGCAACAGGCTGCTGGATGTTTGGGTATCTCATGGTGTATCAAATACACGGAATCACAATACTCTCAGGCGCTTGACCTCGTGACCTATGCCTACGATGGGTTTGAAGCCATCAACACGACCCAGTCTATTGGAAGGATGTCCATGGTGAAGTCCAGCCAATCCCCGTTGATGTGTCTCACGTTCTTTTCTCAGCTGATCTTCTGGTGAATCGCAGTGAAACAAACTCCTGGATTCTACAGGTCAGGTGCTGTTAAATGATCATGTATCCCCTCTAACCCTCTATGGTGGCTGAGGCCTGCGGGGCAATATTTGATTGGTGGGACGCAACAAAGGTTCTTGACAGGCTTCTTGGATTTGACTTGTTGTCCATTGTAACTCTTGCTTGACAAGCTGCAGTTCATATTACGCAGAAACCTTCTCGCTCAGTCATCTTCCCAAGCCCTGGCAACGCTGAGGACGAGAATGCATGCTGCTCATGGGATGGCCACTTGGGGAGCTGGATCTTTCGGGCAACACAGACCAGGACAGCCAAAGTGCAGGTAAGCACTCAGGCCCTTCCAACCAAGTGTCAGCTCATGGCAAAGAGCATACCCACCACTCTCACAGTAGTTGATTTTCAATCGAACATGCATGTTCTGTTCCAAATCAGGACCTAAAGCGCTTGGCGGGTAATGGTATGGCCGTCCGAGTGGTGGCTGCAGCTATTTCGGCCTTGCTCTTGGCCGTGTGCCCCATCAAGATGTCTCGCTACTTGCAATAACAATTGGATCTACCAAAATTAGATGTTGGATCTGCCGCAATTCAGAGGTGTAAGAAAACAAGTGAGCTCCGCTTGCTATGCGATGCAGTGTGCTAAGGGATTGGTGGGTACCTTTGGAACCAAGCCACACCTGTTCCTATGTGCTACTGGAGTTCAAGGTGTAGCAAGAAGCTTATATATCATAATATATGTTTTAAAAAAAACACATACTTTGCAGCTACATTATGACCATGTGATATTTGCAAAACTATCCAATCCAAACCTCATGTGTTGAAACGTGCCTTACTGACACATTTTTGCAACATTGTATATCATAATACCCAGTGGGGTGTGACCCTTGCCCTCCGTCATGCCCGTCCTCCATCGGTGGGATGAAGATGAGCCTGCTCCAAGTGGACCTGCCACGTGGCGCTATGATGAAAGCAGTGACAGTGACCAGGGATCTACTGCAAATGCCAGTGGGTGGTTCGGTTGCAATAGTATGCACTGGTTCTCCGGAACGCCATTCGATACAATGCTTCTTTTCACCCTGCCACCAGTCCCACAGATGAGTCCCTAAGGTCTGAGGGTGGATCTAGTGAATCTGAATCTGATGAGACCAGCAGCTTATCAGATGGAAGCGAATGTGATTTGGATCTTGGTGCGTCAAAGGATATCAACTTCACAGTGAGCCGGTTGCAATCCCTGCACAACCTATCGTTTGGGGAAGAGGCTGAAGCTACCTCCCAATTCGCTCAAAACGGCATGTGCAAGAAACGGATCAAGGATGCCGTCAGAAATCCAGGGT